TCGGTGGGCCTAATGGTCAACCTCCTCTTCCGGTTTCCTCACCACCGCCATTGCCTCCATCTCATCCGCCGTCCCATTCTTCTTCTCTGTTTCCTTCCACCGCCGCAACTGTCCCTCCCTTATCATCATCATATCCCCAAATGCCAAATGCGTCGGTAATGTCTCTTTCGTGGTTTCGTTGTTACCCTCGAAGTATCTCTCTTTTTTTCTGTACTGATGATTTCTTATTGATTGGTAGCCATCTTCTGCACAATTAGCACCAACTCGGTCCAAAGTGATGGATGTATCCCATCTGCTGAAGCCTCCTCATCGATCTACTCGTCCAGATCACTTTGTAATTATCCTTCGAGGACTACCAGGTTGTTTCTCGAGTCTTTTCTTTACTTTTTGCGTTGGAAGTTTTCAACTTTTAATGATTTTAATTCTTAGTATATATATTCAGGTAGTGGGAAGAGTTATCTAGCCAAGTTGTTGCGTGACATTGAGGTAGAAAATGGCGGTAGTGCTCCACGAATCCATTCTATGGATGATTACTTCATGACTGAAGTTGAGAAGGTTAATCAGTCCCTCATAAGTCCTAAGACCTTCTTAAACGAATGGACACTTTACCTGGGACCGTCAAAGGATTCTAATATTGTGTTGCTTTGTCAATGTGAAAGGTTGAGGAGAGTGATTCGAAATCTTCAAGCTCTGGTAGAAGCAAGAGACCTATTGTAAAGAAGGTCATGGAATACTGCTACGAACCTGAGATGGAAGAGGTATCTCTTCAGCATTTATGTTTTGAGATGATGAAAGATGAATATAAACTACAGATATATTTTCTTTTGTTAAGTTTCTTGGCACTCTTGAATTCTCAGGCGTATCGTTCAAGCATGCTAAAAGCTTTTAAGAGGACTCTTGAAGATGGGGCTTTCAGCTTTGTAATCGGTAATTATTTTTCCCGTAATAGTATACTAGGATATATCAATTTTGATTGCAAAAGGTAATTGGTATCTGTGATCTGATGACATTATCTCTTTTGGTTTGATGCTGTTGACATGGTGGCTACTATTCTTCTGAGACAGTATTTCATCTAATATGGTTTCATTAGTTTCTTAGTTTAAAGAACTTAAATATCCTCCCAGCAACTGTCTTGTCTGCTCAAGGTATAGGGAGTAATCTTCATTTAGGGATCCTATTCATTAGTTTAGCTGGGAACTAAGTGGTGCAGTGTCCAGGCACTACTTTCATTTTCTCTAACCACGGATGCAGTATGTTTTCTGGATTTGACCGTTTCTTCCTGGTATATGTCGCTCATCTTAGTGGATGACCGCAATCTGCGGGTAGCTGATTTTGCTCAGTTTTGGGCAACAGCAAAGGTATATTTTCACTTCTTTCTGAATTACCTTGTGGAGATTGGATGTTGTTTGCGGATTCTTTGGAAGACTCATAATAATTTGTGAAGTCAACTAGCTTCCTAAGTTCTTAGTTAATCTTGGTTTCTCAAGTCTAGATGATTTCATGTGCACTTAGTTTAGTCTAAATGTAATTAGACGTTTCTGTCAATGTTTTAGTTATCTTTAACTTGGTAGAATTAGTATAATGCTCTGTCAAAGTTTAAAGTGACCTTGAATTTCCCTAGGATTCAAAATTACCAGTCTTCTTTTCCCCAGCGTCTTCATTATCCTTGTTTTAAACTGTCTTCCTTTGTCCAAAATTACTCCTGTATATCAGTTGCATTCTTACTTCCTTTTTAGCTGAAATCAAGGAAGTAAAATATCTTCCTGTTAAGATATGTCTATTCTCACTCTCTCCCTCTGTTAAAACCTTCTGGCTGTGTTACTATCATCAAAGAGGACACCGACATGGTGCAACTTCCTAGTTCTTACAAGTTCTTCTCCTTTGTGAATGCTAATTCCATCTTCTATTTGATTAGAGTCACTATGTTTTTAGTGACTGTATGTACTATATATAGTAGATTATCTCCTGCAAGTTGAAGTTATTATTCATTTTCTGCTTGGCTAACATCATGCGACTAGTTTACGTGAGGTTACCACTTTTTGTCATTTGCCACTGTCATCAGTTTTTTGTTTGTCTATGATTACGCAAAAATGAAAAGTTGAAGATAATTACCTTTGAAAGAGGTGTTTTTGACCAGCTGAGAACTATTATGATTTAAATGAAAGGCATTGGATACGAATAGTTAACAGAACAGGTGTTCTGACTCTATCTTCTGTTAGAGAAGAGCAGCTTGCATTGTTACATCCGCGCATGGATGCATATGTGATTGACGTATGGATTACAAGTAAGATAGAGCCCAATGCAGTGTCCTGGAGGAAGCTCTTCGTCGTAAACGATCAACGAATCGAGTCCCAATATTTCTTTCAAAGTGGGAGTTTCTTTATTGATGAAGAGAAGAAAGTCCTTGTGCTTTATGTGCCACCTAACAAGATAGCTTTCATCATTAAAGGGAATGGATACTACGAAGAAGTGAAGCTCGGGAGATCTGATGAGGGAACACTTATGTGCTCTTATGTTCCAAGCTCGGTGCAGATCCAGCAAGTACATGCAGGTCGCAATAGGAAAAGACGTACGAGATCATTAAGATATTTTACAAAATAACTTTTTTTTTAAAAATTATTTTGTTTGGTTTCTTGCGTGATCTCCTTTTCATTTTCACTTCATGTCCCTTTTGACAAAATAAAATAAAATTGATTTCCTCGTGATGTTCTCTTTGTGATGCTCTATCACATAATAATATTAAAGCAAAAAAAAACAAAAAATCTATGCAATTTGGAATTTTGCATGTGGTATTGTAGAGATCAAGAGAAAAAAAAGTGAAGACCATCGATCAATTCGTGTTTATTTTTCCCATTGCATGAATAAATAATGTGCTTTTGCATCCCCTACATATCTCACTTGTTCATCAATTTTAATAGTTTGTTGCTTTTGAATTCGGATTTTGTTCCTGAGGAGGATTTAATTTGTCTCTGTAGAAAATCAAACTCAGCTCGTACCTTGAACATAGTTGGTACGTCTTTACACGTATTTAATTTACTGGTCATAATAATTTAACTTTTTAAAAATATTTGGATAAACTGTACCACTGTTTCGTTTGTTATACCGTGGACGTTTCTAGATCTGCCAGTAGGACGCAAGTTTAAGTCGATGCCATAAGGCAAGTAATTGTCTCGAGCTACGGATGCTACAAAAGTTGCTGTTCTCAACACTGATCAGTGAGTCTCCGAGCACAAACATAGCCGGAACTGTAGCTTGTCCGGTCACCAACTCAGGCTGCTGTAATATAAAAGACATGACCACTGCAAAACTATAATAAAACGCATATCCTTTCATTTGGATTCTCATCTATAATAAACGCATGACATGAGGAAAAATTGTTGCAGAAGAAAATTAGAAGCATATATATGAGATTAGAACCACTTAATAACCGAAACAAAATAAAGAATTCTACCGTTTTTGGCAAAAAAAAAATTTGGACCATTTCTCGATTTGTGCATGTCATCCTTGCGCAGGGGCCATGTTAATTTTCTCTGTATCGTTCCAATTTTATCGGATGTCTCCGAAGGGGATCTTTGTCACTCCGACGGTATATAAACCGAACAGCTTCTCCCTCCGTAAGCGATGTGGGAATATTTTGAAGTTTGATACATCGTTTAACTACTTAAATGGGCTTGTTTACATTAAAAGGCCTCTTTCTGTTTTCTTTTCTCGTGAGCCCGTTAACATTATTAATCAAGGCCTCTTTGGAGGAAGAGAAGAAGACGACGCCGTTGGGTAGTTCAGCCTTCACGGTTTTGTTTGTGAAATCTTCCAAGTCTGTCACTGAAATTCTCGAATTTTTCTTCTGTAAAAAGATCTGAAGGGGAAGAAGAAGAAAGTAAGCGAGACTCTGAGTGTATATGATCCATTAACTTTTTTTGTTTCTATCAGTGATAACTGATAAGTGATAACGCGTTTCATCAAAAATATCATAAGACTCAGACTGAGTGATGTTTAACTTCCTTAAGCACTAGCCGACAACGAAAGAGAAACACCCAATTTATTAATTTGTAGAATACTTTACCACTTATTAAATACATGTAATTACATACTTGCCTAAACTCCAAAAACGTAATGTTTTGATTTCTTACATCTACAAATTCGGGTGTTAAGCCAAGTATAAATACTCGGTCACAAACTGAGAATCGATCCCATTTGGCCATTTCCTTCAACCTAAAACCCAAAGCCAAGTTTCGTTACCATGGACGCGGACGGAGCTCCTCCAAACGCCAAGCGACCTCGCCATGATGAATCCCCCTCTTCCATCCAAAACCCTAATCCCCTTCCGATTTCCAGTCAAAGCCATTTCGATTTGTCTATCTCTTCTCTACTCTCGTTTCCGGACTCATCGCCTTCGCCGTCCTCAATTGGCCGCTCCTTCGATCGAGCTCTCGAGAAAGCTCTCGCCTCCGCCTCCAGTCATGTCTCCGCTCAAGATCTCCTCCTCGATCGCACTGTCGAACTCGCCTCCCTTCTTCTCGAGTCTACTCAACGATGTTACCGGAAGCGAGCCACCGTTCACAATTCCAATTCCTGGCCTTTCCCTCAAGACCTCACCATTAAGGTTAAAACAATTGCATTATTGAATCTAAATGCCTTAAAAAAAAATTCGATCTTTTTCTTCTCTTGGGTCAACCATTGATGTAGTCAATTGCATTGCACGATGCTTTATGGATTTTGGTGCCTTTTTACTTAGTGGGTTTGTAGATTGTGTAGAATGATGTCTCCCACCCAATCTCGATATCGGTGTTAGGAACTGAGAAATCTCAGATTATGCATTGTTAAGTGAATGTGAATCCGTTGTGACCATTTTATCTTGAGTGGTGTGTCTCATGTACTATGTCTATAATGCTTATCTCAGGTGTTTTCAATGCTTGATAAAAAGTGTCTGATGCAAGCAATGGTAAGCTGCACCATGTTCCAGAGGTGTGCCATTGACCCTTTGTGCTACTCTCGCATCGGATTGAAAGACAAAAACGTTGATGATGGAGTTGTGCGTACCTTGATCCATCGAGCTGGAAAGGAACTCAGGTGATATGTTGTGTATTCAGAGATTTGGGAAAAGAATCTGCTTGCATTAGTTGGCATCTTCCTAGTTTGTTGAACTTGGTTTTTTTATGTATGCAGATCTCTTGAACTTGGCCATGTTGCTCGCCCTACATCTCCTTTGTCTCTACTAACAGGATCTTGCCTTTCCCCACTATCCTATAATCATTGTTTCATTGGGTATTGGCTTCAGTTTTCAGTATTAAACATGCTATTTTTTATCTGTCTTATCCTTTCAAACGTGCCTTTGATACCATAGACAGAAATTGAATTCGACCTGTGTCTTGCATTGGATATTTGTTTGTTTCTGTTAACATGTGCATTAAATCTTCTAATTTGGTATCATCTTTTCCCGTTCAACTAGGAATCGATTGAGAAGCCTACACCTTTACGGTTTCAAGGATATGTATAAAGATTCCTATTGTGATGCCTTGTCAGCTTGTTCAAATCTCACTGATTTGAAGATTGTTGGACTGTAAGTTGCGTCCTGCCTCTTTGCTTTAACATCATCCCCATCTATGAATGACAATTCCTGAAATATAAAATTAGCCGTATATGCTTTGAATTCCTTATGCAAGATTCTCTCAGGTTTTTACATCATTTCGTATTCTATGTGACAGGACCTCTGAGCAGATATTCGAGCCAATAGTCACAAGAAAATCATGCCGCAAGATAGAGCATCTATTCTTGGAGGCCCGTCTTTTCCCATGTAAAGCTTCTCCACTCTCAATCTTTTCTTTGGTTTACTCTCAGGTTTTCTCAAGCTCACTCACTTACTGTGCAACAGATAGTTCAACGGGGGATTCAGTCATGGCAGATTTCGTGGCCAGCCTCCCCAACTTAACCTCGCTAACGTTCATAGGTTTTGATATGACTGATGCCATAGCCCAACTTCTTTTTGAGGTATGGCTCTTTTAGTTTTCTGGTATATCTTTTGTTCTTTAGTTTTGGTACCATCCCGAATATGTTCTGGATGCTTTTCCAGGGCTTTCCTAAACTCAAGCACATGAATCTGTCTAGAGCGTCCCAAATCAAGGGTCGCTTTTTGAGGTTCGTGTTTGCCTGAACAAAATAGTTATATGGCGCAAGCTCTTTATATCTAATGGCTAAAACTTTCTTGGTATTAGGGATTTGGGAGATAGCTTGAAAGACAGTCGGCTCGAGACTCTAATACTGCGCGATTGCCCTTATCTTGAGGAGGTAAAAATATCAAACCCTTGATAGGTATTTGGTTGTTTCTGCATCACACTCACTTTAACCTTGGAATTACCTACATTTTCAGAAAGAAGTGTTGCAGTTTCTGAACTCGCTGTTCACAGGAAACTTGAAACTACTCGGACACATTGTAAGTTGTTCATTGAATTTTTGGTAAAGCATAACTTTGTTTACTCGTAATTGGCTAATAGCCTGTTTTCTCCTCCAACAGGACGTTTCTAATACCCGAGGCTTACGTACTGATGGTGTCAGGAGATCTAAGAACCCAAAGTAAAATGATTTGATTTGCTTACTTTTGAATTTAGATCAGAATCTCGTTTATACGCCAATGTTATTGTTGTTTTTGTCTTTCGTTTATAGCTTCCCACTGGAGAAGCTGAAAGAAGAAAGACCAAATGTCAAGTTTGTGGCAGATTTTACCTCTTCATTATCAAGGTTCATTTATATTCATTCTAAATACTAGTTTTGATATTAGAGAAGTCAAAAGTACAAATGGGTTTCTGTTTGCAATATTCAGATCAGAAAGGTTTTCGCGGGGCATTTCTGACAGCAGCGACGACGAAGACGATGGATATGAAATAGCCCCAGTGGACCCTCGGATTGAGAGCGATGGTGATGATGATTTCGCAAACTTTGTTGACGGCGACGCTTTGTTAGGATATGAGTTTTAGTTGGCAGATATAGTGGCCTCGTTTTTTCTATAAATTATAATAAATGTATCATTTGATTGTCGTACTACAAATTGGTTATGGCATTGGTTTCTTTAAATTATCTTGTTAACATATGCTGGTACATTGTAATTATGTTTTCGTCTGATAATCTTTATTTGAAAATATGAAATTGTGTTTTTGGTAAAAGCACAATAGGCATAAAGAAAAACATGGCTCTCGAAACATTGCAAAGCAAGGAAACAAAAACGAAATGCAAATAGGGGAATTGAAAAGTGTTCTTCTCAACTTGGTCATCGTTTAAACTTGTTGCCTTGTCCTTTTCCATGCGGAATGAAGTTTCCTTGTAACCTCTGTATTCGTTCTTATCTTAGATTTATGTTTGGTTGAGTTTGAATTCTCATCAGCTACAGGTAAACCATAATTTCCTACACCCTTATTACACCACATGATCTCTTAGTACTTGAGAAATTGGCTAGTTCCAAAACAAGTACGGGACCTTATCCGATGAATAGCCCTGAAAATCACAACTAAAATTTACGACACTTTTGCTTACAAATTTTTGGTATAATCATGGGTTTATAATTAGGTTTTGTCTCCACTCTGAACCTAATTTGATGATAGTTTGTTATCTTTGTTTGGTAAGACAAGAGATGCAATGTCTAATGTCTTATTTGAAATTAAATAATCGTAGAGCAGCTAGGGCTTTGAATCATCGTCCTACATCGATCAATTGCTTGAGAAAGCTCTCGCCTCCGCTTCCTCTGATGTCTTCGTTCAGAATGGCCTCGCTGAACGTACTACCAAACTCACATCGCTTCTTCACGAGTCCACTAAACGGTGCTTCTGCAAGCGAGCTTCTCTTCACAATTCCAAATCTTGGCTCCTTCCTACAGAACTCACTATTAAGGTTTTGTTTCTTTTCTTTCTTTGGGGGTGTGTTCATTGATGATGCGTTTTTCCTTTTTATTGGAATTATGTATCCCACATGATTCAACCATTTTATAGATATAAGCAAAATTGGTGGAATGTATGTTTTGTTTGTGGAACTGAGTAACCTTTTTGTGTGTGTCAATTATTGATCAATCCATTGTCAGTGATGTCTCTCATGTATTATGCCTTTAATGCAAATTCGAATTCAGGTGTTTTCGAAGCTTGATACAAAGTCTCAAATGCAAGCCATGGCATGCTGCACCATGTTCAAAACATGTGCCAAAGACCCTTTCTCTTACTCTCACATCAACTTGACCACATCTGTCAGCAACGTTAGTAATAAAATTGTGCGTACCATGATCCGTCGGGCTGGAAAGGAACTCAGGTGGGTAATATTTTGTGTATTCAAGAAACCATAAAGTTAGGTCGATTCCAAAGAATTTGCTTTACATTAAATAGCAGAATCCAAGTCCCTAGTTGTTTGTTGCTGCAACGTAACTTGGTTAATTAATGTAATCATATCTCATGGTTTTTGTTTATGTATGCATGCATGCAGATCCCTTGAACTTGGTCATGTTGTTCGCTCAGATAACTCTACTACGCCTTTGCTTACCGGAAAATGTCTTGCCCCGCTATCCGATAATGATGGATTTATTGGGTATTTTCTTGATTTATCTATCCATTTGAAATTTTCAAAATAAAACTTGTTTTTTTTTAATTAAGTGCAGCGAGAGAAAAATGAACATGTTGAAAAAGAACAAGACAGAGAGATTATAACACATCCCTACCTTGTCCTCGTATTAATCTTCTACTTTTGTTGTCATCTCTTTTCCCATTCAACTAGGAAATGCTTGAGAAGCATACACCTTTACGATGTCAAATCTCTGCAAAACAGTCTCTCTATTGATGCGTTGGCAGCTTGTTCAAACATCACTGATTTGAAGATTGTTGGATCGTAAGTTGTCTTTTCTTGTATTTTGCTTTTTTCAGTCATCTTTCTATGCTTTTTACTTTTATTGTTTCTTGGTGTCTTATTCCTTTATGCAACATTCTCTCACGTTTTCCGGTGTTTTCGTGTTTCGTGTGACAGGTATAAGCCACCCGAGAAGCTACTTAAATCACTGGCAACAAAATGCTGCTTCATAGAGCACCTGTTCTTGGAGACCTATGGTTTCCCTTCAAGTAAATCTTTTTTTTTCCCCAAATGTTGACGCTTTTTTTTTTTACTCAAGCTTATATATATGTACATACATATTGTGTAACAGGTAGATCAAGAAAAGTTTCAAGAGCCTTGGTAGATTTCTTGACCAACAATCCAAACTTAACCTCGCTAACACTCATAGGTTTCAGACTAAATGATGCAACGGCCCAAATTCTTGTTGAGGTTCTGTTTTCTCTTGCATTTATTCTTTCTTTAGTTGGTACCATCTATATGCTTTTACTAAGCCCAAGTTGTTTTTTTCTTTTTCTTATTTGCTTTTGCAGAGTGCACGTAAACTCGAATACATGAATCTGTCTAGAAACCCTACAATCAAGGGTCACTTTTTGAGGTTCAGATTTTTTTTTTCTTAAACAAAATATGTTAATAGCGCAAATTTCCTCCTAAGTATTTCTATTAGCAAAATTTCTTATTGCTGAAACTTTTTTGATGATAGACATAGTTGCAAAGACAGTTTGGTCAAGACTTTAATATTGCGTGACTGCCTTTTACTAGAGGAGGTAAGCATTAAACAATAATGAACAAGTATTTGGTGGTTGCATGCATCACCGATCATATAGTCTCGCGCTTACTGACCTTGAAATTTCCAACTTTCAGAAAGAAGTTTTGCAGTTTCTGAATTCGCTATCCACAGGAAACTTCAGATTTATTAAGCACATTGTAAGTTCTTATAGAACTTTTGGTAAATTTTGTGTGGAATCAGAGGTATAATTTTAAAAAAAATTATTACTCATAATATTGTTCTTCTTCTTATACAATAGGACATTACAAATTACCGTGGCTTGTTGTCTGATGGCCGCAAAAGCTCTTTCAATCCAAAGTAACATATTGATAGTTCACTTATTATTTATTTTATTTAGATAATTGTTACCATTTTCCCTAATAATTATTACAACTGGGATATATAAATATGCATGTGTTGTAGTATTTCCTTGGAGAAGCTGAAAGAAGAAAGATCAGATGTCACATTTGTGGCAGATTTCACTTCACCATTATCAATGTTCCATCTTTATCCCTAACATTTGTTTGTTAGTTTTTTAGGCTTTTTGAAGTAATCATCAAAGTGAGTTTTTTTTTTGTGTTTTTAAAAATTTGAGATCAGAAAAGATATCTCGTGGCATCATTTCTTCAGGCAGAGATGAGCCGAGCGATGATGATGGAAGAAGAATATTAGGACAAATTGCTGAAAATAGGAGGAAGGATCGCAGCTAGCTAGGAACACTCCAGTGATGATCAATGCACAAACAACTCAATAAGAACACAAAATACTTTTTTTCAAAGGGTAGTTATGACTACCTCTTTTGTTTTTCATTAACTGGAATCATAAACTGAAAAAGTGTAGTTTTAAAAATAAGGGACACCATAAAGGTGTAGTTTTGAAAATGTACCTTTTTTAAAAAATTCTTAAAAAAAGGGTTTTAATGAAGAACCACCTTTGTATCCGTTCCTTGGTACAAAATTTAGTTCGAGTGCATGTGTTTATCTTTTACGTTGGATGATTCATGATTGTTGTTGAGACGGTAAAAGTTTGGTGTTTGGGTGTAAAGTTGAAGGAGTTACTCTTTATTCTCCAGCAAGGTCCTTTACGCAGCAGCTTGGTGAGCATGTTTATTGGTAAGACTCTAAATGTCTCTTAACTATTTTTATATCAATAAACTTATTTTAAGAGACATTAGTAAGAGACAAATATTTTTGCACAATTATTGGTAAGTTCCTTAGAAGTTCTTACAAATATTTTTGCACCAATACACAGCCTCTCTTTTTCCCACACTCCTTTCTTACTGTGCTATCTTAATCCCTTCTCTGTCTTAAATTTTTACAAAATTGCAGATCAAAGATGCTTGCATGCTCAACTTCTTCGAGAACAATGCAAGTCGTCTTCCTAAATGATTTTGGTGTCTTCTTTCTCGGTCCCATTTTTCAACAAGAGAGTTCACGTTCTCCAGAACCGTCATTGACCATGTACAATGCAAGCTACATGAATTCAACACACACATACATATCAGTAACAAGTAGAGAGAAATTTATCTGTATAAAAGATCTTCATCACTTACAATGATAGCTCCAACAGGAGCCATCCAATTATCAATGTAATTGGCGAGGATTACTGCAATGAGTCCAATGATGTTTGTGATGACGTCAAAGAAGTGGTCTTGAGCATAAGCTTTGACAATCTCGTTACTGAAGGATCTGCAGTAGAGAACCAGAAGCAGTTCCACCAATGTCACAGAGAGCATGATCCCAACCACAGATTAGCTCAATCGTTATCAGTTCTACACATATCAATTCTCTCACCTCCTTTTTCTGTATGAGACCACAACTAATTGTCTGTATCAACTGTATTGTGGTATCACCTTCATGTACGTATCAACGGTATGGGCCGTAAAGTGTTGTTATTTGTAATTCTAAAGAAATGGGCCAACGATTTAAGTGACCCAATTTGATTTTGAATTGCCAGCTATTGGTGAGGTGGGACCTTGTAAATGGAAAAAAAAAATTTCCTCTGCTAATTTTTTTGTTTGTTTTGGCCTATGAATATCACTTGTCATCATCTCGTAGTCTTTCACAGAGAATCAAGGGCTTCAAAACGACTTCTCTGATAGATTTGGGAAGAAAAGCTGAATCGAGAGAGTTTTCATATTTGGGAAGAAATGTTAGGTGAGCTGGACCTTCTAAATAAAAAATACAACTCTCCTTTTTATATTCACTCATACATTTGCATCTTTTCTTTCATTCTTCCAACGTTGTCTCATCCATCTTTCATGGAGGATGCAAACGAAATCAAGCGACTATGTCGAGTCGCAGTCCAGAGTGTTCCTGATGTCGACCAGAGTCACGTAGATCTGATGGTCTCTACTCTACTCTCGTTGCCTGATTCGCTAGCCACTGAAAGGTCCTTCGACCGAGCCTTTGAAGACTTGCTGGAGTCTTCCGGTGATGAGTCTACTGTCGACCGCGGACTCCAACTCGCTGCCCGTCTCCTCGAGTCCGCTAAAAGGTGCGCTCGGAGACGCGCCACACACCACAACACCATTTCTTGGCCGCTCCCTCATGAACTCACCGTTAAGGTAAACACATCGCGGTTGAAATCTAAAGTTGAACTGCTTTATCATTAATCGATTTTTAGCTTTTAAGATATTTTGTCTCAATTATGCTGGAATTTTGTGATGTGTCATATGGTATTCAGTCGATGACGGCGCTTGCTCTTAGGAAGATTTTATGAGTTGTTGTTTTTTTTATAGAACGTTCGAATTTAAAGTCAAAAGACCTTTTAACCCCAAAAAAAAAGAATTTAAAGTTAAATTGTTTTATCTCAATTAAGCTGGAATTTGTTGAGGATTCACTAAATCATGTGTATTAACAAAAAAAACAATTTTTTTTCCAATCATAAAGATCACTTGCGTCTTGCAGTATGGTAATGAATCATGAGAAAGATGTAATTGTTGAGGAAAATGTTAGGTGACTTGATTTATTAAATGTGATATGTTAGATTGATATTTTCTGAAAAAAAAATAATAACGAAAATATTAAATTCTTAATAAATTATCTTACAGTATACAAAATCACACATGTATTGAATGATGTTCCATAGATGTAATCATTTTTTTTGCTCTCTTGAGTTAATGTGTTTGAAATTGATTATTCAGATCTTTGGGTTGGTGGATACCAAATCGTTGGTCCAAGCGTCGGCTTCTTGTACCATGTTCAAGAGAAGTTCGATGGACCCGTTTTGTTACGGGGACATAGACTTGACCAACGTTAATGTTAAAAGTATAGTTGTGCGTGGTATGATCTTTAGAGCTGGAAAGGAACTCAGGTGAGATGTTGTGTACTCTTACTCTTAGTGTCCCTTCCTTTCTTCTTGATGCAAGTGAGCTTCTCATATTTCTTGATTTTCTATTCAATTACTCTCTATGGGTTTTGTTGCATGCAGGTCCCTTAAAGTTGGTTGCGCAGATGAACCAACCAAATCTCTGCTTACAAGATCTTGTCTCGACCCACTGTCTTACGATCATGGTTTAGCTGGGTATTTACTCTATACCTTCTATACGTAAAAAGTTGGTTCTACTGGTTTTTGTGGTGCTTCTAAATTCTAATTTGGTTTATTTACTTATTTTCAACAAGGAATCTCTTGGAGAGCCTACACATTTACAATCACGACGGAAAGCTGAGAAAGTCCATATGTGGTGCGTTGTCAGTCTGCTCAAATCTGACTGATTTGAAGATTGTTGGATTGTAAGTTACTAAGTTCCTTACCTATTGTTTTACCATATTCCTTGAATTGTCCATTCCCATATTCTGGTTTTCATCATCTATGATTTCCATTATTTGCTCAATTTGCTGCTTTTATGTCTGTAGATATTAGAATCTACTAGTTCCTCTTGTACCGTTTTGATAAGATCCATGAGTTTAGTCACCAGAAATTTACATCATATAGAGACTTTGGTAAAAAAGAGAATTTCAGTTATCATCCTAAAACCCTAGAAAACCAGAACGCCTAAACCCTAAAAGTGTATTTCTGGACTAACAAGAAAGCTTTTGATACTTTTTCTCACTTCCTATACAATATTTGTGTTTTAAATGACAGGGATATCCATACAGTAAGTGATATAGTCGATTTTCTCACAATCAAATGTGAGCATCTGTTCTTACAGAACGAGAATTTTGGTAATGTTTTTCCATTGTGATGCTTAATTAATTTGCTTTTGTTTGTCCTCCCATGCATGTTTGCTTACGCTGACCGTTATGTATGACAGTTGTATGGAGCCACTTAACTGGTTCGCACTTTGAGAAAAGCTGCCCCAATCTCACTTCACTGTCACTTATAGGTTTTCACATAACAGACGACGAAGCCTACAAGTTATTAATGGTATGGCTCTTTTGGTTTCCTGGTGTTTCTTCTATTCTCATTTTTTTTTGGGTGCTATATATATAAATGTTTTTGTAAAACATTGAGATGTTTTCTATTTGATTTTTTTCCAGGGTTTGCATAAACTTAAGTACATTGACTTATCCAGAACATCTGGATTTGGAGGATCCTTCTTGAGGTTCATGTTGTCTTAATGATGAAATCCTACTAATTGTTTTTCTGTTTGGAAAATTTCTTATGGTGGGTTTTTTTGTTCTTATGGTAGACGCGTGTGCGATAACATCAAAGATGCTCTGATCGAGACTATAATACTGCGAGATTGCGTCGGGTTAAGGGAGGTAAAGCAATCTAACTTAGTACATATATTCTCTTGTTTTTGCATCAGCATCAGTATTTGTTAGAGAATGGTTTGTCAGTATTTGTTTTTGGATATTCAGAGAATGGTTTGCCAGTTTTTGCATGCGTTACTCTCAGGAGACTTGAGGTTCATGCAACATATTGTAAGTTCTTAAATAGGAGTATACTAGTTTTTTGTAAGAATATCATTGTGACAAATGATTTTGTTTAATTTACTCATGATGTTTTTTCTTCAATATAATAGGATGTTTCAAATTACCATGGATTACTTTGTGGCGAGAGGAGTAATAGAAAACCAAAGTAACATATTTCTTTCTTTTTTTATGTTGTTTACCATTTGATAAAACAGTAATCATAACTCAGGTTAATGACTCACCGGCGGTTTATATGGGTGTGTTGTAGGTTTCCTCTGGAAGAGCTGGAAGTAGAAAGACCTGGTCTTACATTTGTGGCAGATTTTATACCATCACCATATTCATTTTTATCGTCATCTGATGATTCATCATCATCTCATGCATCATCTCATTCATCAACGGATTCATCAGCATGATCAAGTGATTCATCATCAGTAAGGTTTGTTGATTTGTTATTATATAT